AATAAATAATATTTAATTTTCATAGCCAAATATCCACTAATATTCCCTCCACTATAATGTCCTTTTATTTATTTTTTTTAAAAAAAGAAAAACACTAAGGCCCAATTTAATCAACTATTTAATCCAAATCAAATGAGATTGAAATTGGAATAGTTTTTATATTACTATATTAGTATAAAATTGAATCGACTTTAAATATTTTTTTATCTTTAATTGATTTCTATTAAAAAAAGGAACAATTGAAATAGAGAATTCATATCTCTTATCTAAAAACATTTCTTGAAAAATAAGTGAATAATATATATTGTGGAGTACAGATCATCAAGCGGGGATAGCTCAGTTGGGAGAGCGTCAGACTGAAGATCTGAAGGTCACGTGTTCGATCCACGTTCACCGCAATTTTTAATTTCTCTTTTTCCGACTCCTTGTTTTAATTTTTTTTCATTTACGTTACATGAAAATATGCAAAAAAACAGCAACTAAAAACAGAGATCGATCCGCACAAGTGTTTGTTTCTTCCGCAATTAATTTTCTTCCGTCTCTCCAACTTTTTCGTTTTATCCTTATCCCATTTTTCCCTCATCAAGATTTATTTTTGCTTTAACCTAAAACAACACTAGTGTGTAGCCTTTTGAACATTTGCAATCTTTTCCAAATATTGTTGATGCTTTTTCAATCACAATTTTCTGTTTCGAACAACAATTTGAGTAAAGCAAATTAGGGGTATGCCTTGAATGAAGAAGACTTTAAGAAATTTGTGGTACAATGGAGAGTGGTGTTATCGGCATATCAGGAATCCCATCGTCGTCCTCGTTGTTGTCGACGTCTAAATCAATCTGCATTCCGTCGACTAATTGGGTCGATTTCAATGATGCCCAATGTCGATTCCGACGACAATTCTTCTTCAACCAAACTGTCGGCATTATGTTCCTTGTGTGTTTCTTCCTCCCTGGCCTTTTGAGACATGCAAAAACGTCACCTTTTCTTGAAGAAATCCTCTTCTGCCTCTGAGTATTAGGTTGTCTCTGTTCTTGTTCCTTTTCTTCTTCGTCGTCTTCTCTTGTTGCTGTTTGGTTGTTCAACAGAATGATATCCGGGGCTGGAATTGGAATTGGAAATGGAAATGGGGACCCTTTACGATCTTGTACGAATAAGAAAGGCGGATCTTTTGATTGGGCTAATGAGCCACCCAACTTGCAAGATGACTACGTTGAGAAAGACCCCCATGGCCGATATGTTCGGGTGATTATCTCTAATCCGAACTGATTATAGTAGTACGTCGTTTTGCTCATAAATATAGTTTAAATTTCTGTCCCATTCCAGTGATTGAAGTAAAAGTAAGCCACATGGTTTAAACTTAGTTCAGTTAAGAAATTTGATAGTGGATGCCTTAAAATCGCACGATTTGATTAGTTGAAGGCTCAATTTTCTAAATTGGATTTCCTGAGGATCAAAATTACAATTTTCCTATTTTGGTGCTATTTCTTTTCATTTAAGTTTGATGGCTTGTGTCAAATGCAAAAGTTAAATTTATAATATAGAAGGTTATTACATTTTAGGCAGATAGATGTCTTTGAGGTAGGTGGTCTTAGCTGAGATGCACAAAAATGAATTCCTTGAAAATTTTATTAGAGAACAATATCAATGTTGCTTTCTTTGCATCATTATTAGCATTTATGAGCTATACATATTGGCAGTGAGTTTTGCTGAAACTTTTTAGAGGTTTGGTTAAACATGTTGCCTCTCATTGTTTGTCAAATGGCAAGGGATTAAGAAACAAGGTACTTTCAAAAAGGATGTATAATAAAGTTAAGTAAGGTCATCTTGAAGAGGGTATTTGAAAGATAAAATTCAAGATATACATTGTGGCTGGTCAATAGAGAACTATCCAAACAGCTTAACAAGAATGTTTCCGAATTACTCAAGAAAAGGAGGGATTGCTCACCAGATGGAGGGAAAGAAAAAATTTGACAAAAAGGTGTTAATTAATTTTTGGTAATTATGCTGTATAGAATGTGAAGGCCATGATCATTTGCATGAACTTGGTTAAATTTATGCTGACCTACTGACCATGCTCAAAAATCAAAATCCCTCCTGTTATCCTGCTATTATCAAGTTCAAACTAGATTTTCTATTTGTATATTGTAATGCTATATGATATAAAACAAGGTGAGGCTGGTATTTGTCTCGTGTTCGATGAAGGAATGGATAGTAATAACTATAAGAAAAGAAGAAAGGTGATTATGGGAGTCTCTTTATATTTCCTTTATATAGCAGGCAAAGCTTCAAAAATATCAGTTCATTGACAATCCTTTATAGTACCTGCTTTTGTTTTCTCTTACAGTATAATGAGGTATTGGGCAAGGGAGCATTCAAGACTGTGTATGTTCCTTAACTTTGTCCCCTTTTTTGGTTTTCATTTTGATCTCTGATTTTAATATGGCTAGATAAAAATTTTAAGTGAAAGAATTAAGCTGTTTGTCTTGTTCTCGAATTCCGTTTTTAGCTATAAGGCATTTGACCTACTTGAGGGTATTGAAGTTGCATGGAGCCGAGTGAAAATTGAGGACATGTTGCAGTCACCCGAAAGTTTGGGAAAATTGTATTCAGAGGTTCATCTTCTGAGACAATTGAAACATGAAAATGTAATGAAGTTATGTGATTCGTGGATTGATGACAAAAAGAAGACAGTTAACATGATCACTGAGCTGTTCACGTCTGGGAACCTGAGGCAGTGAGTTTTCTTGGTAGTTTCTCAGTTTCTTCATTTGCTTATTATATACTCTAAAATTGATAATGTATTCATGGACGTAGATACTGTAAGAAGTATAAAAGTGTTGATATGAAGGCTGTAAAGAATTGGGCAAGGCAGGTTCTTCAAGGTTTGGAGTATCTCCATAGCCAGAACCCACCTATCATTCATAGGGACTTGAAATGCGATAATATTTTTGTCAATGGAAATCATGGGGAAATCAAGATTGGCGATCTTGGATTGGCAACTATTATGGAGCAGGGCACTGCCAAGAGTGTTATTGGTATGGTTGTTTCTTGTAGTACAATTTTAGAAAAAATTCCTTCTCGAGTACTGACTTTATTTATTCTATACAAAGGGACCCCTGAATTCATGGCCCCAGAGCTCTACGAAGAAGAGTATAATGAACTAGTAGATATATATTCCTTCGGAATGTGTATGTTGGAAATGGTAACTTTTGATTACCCTTACAGCGAGTGCAAGAATCCTGCCCAAATTTATAAGAAAGTTAGCTCAGTAAGTTGAATAATTTGATGCTTAAATAGTATTCTATTTGAAATTGTGTCATTCTTTCTATCTAAAGAACCTTGCATTATCAGGGCACTAAACCTGCTTCCCTCAGTAAAGTTACTGATTCCAAAGTCAAAGCATTCATTGAAAAATGCTTGGTTGCAGCATCTGAGAGGTTGTCAGCCAGAGACCTCCTGAAAGACCCGTTTCTTCAATTTGAAAACTTGAAGGAGTCAGTTGATAATCAAATTCAATTACCTAAGCAATGTCCTGGATCTTTGAGTTTGTCGAAACCTTTATCTCATTCCATGGATGTGGATTCAGAGTCTAACCAATCTATATATACAGATTCTAGTTGTGGAAGTCCTCGTGTTCCAGGTTTGGAATTCCAGAGATGCCATCAGAATAATGAATTTAAATTAATGGGGAAGAAGAATGATGCCAACTCAATTTCATTGACCTTGCGAATCAGAGATACTGCTGGTAAGTATATGAATATCAATTTGTTTCCTATTATTTTATTTTAT